GTGCGCGTGTATGAGTGTGGCCCACTGAGGCCAGAGGAGGACATCAGGTATCTATCACTCTTTATTCTCTCAAGACAGTGTCTATCACTTACCTTGAAGCTCTTGTCTAGCATAAGGAAATCTGTGAGAGTGAAGTTTTAAGCTGGGGTATTATAGCAGGAGGGCTGTATAGCTTTTGTTTGGCTTTATAATGAAGAGATTCTCATTTTCCCCCCTGTAGTTCCTTGAGAAGATATATGCTGAGGAGAGAGGTAAATCTGAAAATATTGAGACTCCTAAACTCACACCAACAGAGAGGAATTCTGGGAGAAGATAAGGCAGCTTTTATTGACTGCATGCTTGGGTATTGCTCCATTATTTTAATTATTAAGTAGAATATGGTAAGTGCCCACTATGGAAACCTCAACCAGGCAACATCTATAAATATAAAACCAGACACAGTGTTTCTAAATGGCTTTCTAAATGCTTTAATTGATCTTTGCATTATTTTTAGTTATGTATAGTTGGGTATGTCTGCATGTGGGTGTGTACACATGACTGTAAGGGCTCTCAGAGGCCAGACATGTTGAGTCTCCTGGAGATATAGTTACAGACAATCATGAGCCACTATGTGGATGCTGGGAATTGAACCTTGTTCCTCTGAAAGAGCAGAAGTACTCTTAATCCCTGATCCATCTCTCTGGCCCTCTTTAATCAATGTTTTGTTTGCTTGGTTGCTTTTTGTTTTGTTTTGTTTTGTTTGTTTGTTTGTTTTTTTGGGGGAACTTTCAGGTTCAGCCTTCTTAAGGCAGAGTTTTGCTATGTAGCCTAGGTTGACCTCTAATTAGTTACCCTCCCCTTCCCCTACCCCTACCTTAGCCTCTCAAGGCTAGGGTTATAGTTGTCCACCAGCATATCTGGCTTAGCATTTTGTGTTCTACCAACTATGGGATCAATATTCATGTGTAGTGTTCTCACAGTTTTGTGTTATGAAAATTACATAAGTATATTCATTCTTTGTAAAAAAAATAAAATCTTAAGTAAAGGCAAAAATCTCTCTATTTTTATTGTTATGACTTTGAATAGGTACCTCATTTATTTCTTTACAGTATTATTTTCTTACCTTTTTAATTAAGCTGACTGAGATGGCTTTTTTTTCTCTCTTCTTAGGCAAGTTAGTCTTGCTAATTAATAAATGTGTACTTGCAGTGGAAGGTCATAGGTCAGAAAGTTTAAAGGAAAGTCAAGCTAATGTGTTTTATTACTTTTTAAAGATAAAGAATTAGGGGCTGGAGAGATGGCTCAGAGGTTAAGAGCACTGACTGCTCTTCCAGAGGTTCTGAGTTCAATTCCCAGCACTCACATGACAACTTACAACTGTCTGTAACTCCAGTTCCAGGGGATCTGATACCTTCACACCAATGCACATAAAATAAAGTTAAATAAACTGTAAAAAAGACAAAGAATTATTTGTGTATATGTGTGTAAAAATACATGTGTGTACTCACAGAGGAATATGTCTGCTCCTCTGGGTCTGGAGTTACAGGCAGTTGTGTGTTGTGTCATGTGCGTGATGGGAACCACATTTAGGTGCTCTCCAAGAATGGTACCAGTTCTGAAACCCTTAACCATCTCTCTAACCTCTATATTTTATTACTTTAAAAAATTATTTGGGGGTGGAGTTTTTGAGCTGAAACAGTGGTTAAGAGCACTGGCTGCTCTTCCAGAGGACCCGGGTTCAATTCCCAGCAACCACATGGCAGCTCACAAACATCCAGTTCCAGGAGGTCTGACACTCTCTTCTGGTGTCTGAGGGCACCAGACAGGCAGATGATACACAGACATGCATGCAGACAAAATACTTGTACAAATATAATATCCAAATTTAAATCAAAACAAAGAACTTTAGAAATGAAAACAATTATTATTTTGTGTACATGCTTACGGTCATGCATGTGTGTGGAAGGTGTGTGTGGAGGTCAGAGGTGTTCCTCAGAAGCCGTCCATCTTGTTTTCTTGGGGAGGGTCTCTCACTTGGACCTGAGCTCACCAGCTCAGCTAGGCTGGCTAAGCAGTGAGCTGAGATCTGCCTGTTTCCTCCTCCAACACTGGGATCACAAGCTAGGCCACCATGGACTTCTCCATAGGTGCTGGGAATCAAATGTGGATCCTCATGCCTCCACAACGAGCATTTTGCCAACTCCCCAGGTCCTCCCACTCGAATCTCAGCAGTCTTATACCGAACTACATTTTAAATTTGGTTGCTGGTAACACACTTTTAGTTGAGAAAGAGACAAGAAAAAAGTTTTTGAAAAATGTTGTACGTACATGACATGGCAGGACAGAAAATGTGTATCAATGCAACAGTATTCATTTCTACAACTAGTTAGGAGGTGTAATTGTTACACAATTTTCCTCATCCACTTCCCATTCCACAGGCTTCCTCCTTTTAGACAACCATTTGACTGATGGGGTTACCTGCTCAGGAGTGGCCCAAACCTTTATCCAGAAAGGGCTGGAGCCTCCATGATCCTCTCATTGGGGTTTTTATTACTAGACACGGTGGAGTTCCAAGGGACCCTCTGATTTCCATGACTCTCTTGTCAATCATTGTTCTCATTAGTGAAGTCTCTCTCTGACACCAGAATGTTCTTTCTAGTTTTTCACAGAGTATGAGGAACCCACACTAACCAGGTGGTGACGATCGCTGCTAAGTCAATGGAAATCTTGCTGTTTACTGATGGTGGGTGGCTTTTCTCAAGCTTTTATATCCACAGCTCAGTCCTGGGACCAAGGAACAATTGTCCCAGTGGTCATTAAGGAGGTACTCCTCCTGATGTTATCCCTTACACTCAGTCAGACCTGCACATCCAGAGTATGGGACAAAGAGTGAATGTGGATCAGTATGGACAGCCATCGCTCAGTGTCTGTGTGACACTGGCTCCAGGCTCCTCTGAAATCTGCTGATGCTCTCAAGTCCCTTTCACAAAATGATACAGTGCCTGCATATGGCCTACATGTGTCCTACCCTGCGTGTGGAGTCTTCACTACATGAACTTCAGTACCTACACAATGCAAATTAAGACACTGTGTTACACTGGGCTGTTTAGGGAGTAACAAGAAATAAAAACAGTCTGTTGGTGTCAAGTGAGGAACAAAAACTGCGTGAATATTTTCAATTCTGTTTAACCATGAGGGTGCGGAGCACACAGGTATGAGTGAACAATAGCACTCTACTAAAAAACATTCTCTTTCAAGTGGAGCTTGAGTCTGAAATAAGCTTCTGTGTGCACCATAGTGTCAGCATTGCTTTCTCATTTACTATAGAAATTGTTTCTGCACTTTGCATAGGAGCTCCTGCCTGTAATCCCAGAACTCCAGAGGCTGACGGGAAAAGATGCCAGGAATTTTAGGCTAATGTGGTCTAAAGGTTGAGACCTTGTTCTGTTCCAAATACCAAATGATGATCATGAAAATGATGATAGTGATGATGATGACAGTGATGAAGAGGTGGTGATGATGGTGATAATGACCAATGACAGTGATGAAGGTAGTGATAATGATGACGGTGATAATGATAGATCAAGCAAGTTTCTGCATGAGACCAGTGTTGAGTGGGGAACCCTGGTGGTGAATAAGCCCCCAGTAAGTCTATAAATGTTGGTGTGGGTGGACGTCTGTTAAGCAAGATCAGCAAACCTAAACCCAGAAAAACTTTGGGAACAAAAGATAACTCATTACTTTCTCTTGAAGACTATTTCAATCCATAGCCATTATGGCCCTTTTACTGTTCTTCACACTGTACAGGGTAGAAATCTGAGGGTCACATTTCCCAAACCCATTCATGGTTGCATTCATTAAATAGCCTTACATGTGGGGAACCACACAAGTGGCATCAAAAGGAAAGTGGGTCTGCTGAAAGCCAGTGGAGGAGGTATCTGGTCCTACTTTTGGTGGAATTTTGACATTCAGTTCCACTTTTGGTGGGACTTTAGCATTCAGTCCTACCTTGGGTGGGATTTGGGCATCTGGTCCTCAGATTCTGGCATGCAGGTAATGAGCTGCAGGCAGTGCTGGTTATGCCACTCTGGAGAGAACCCACCAGGGGTACCTTGTTCCTGGCTTTGCTGCAGTCAAGCCTAGTTCATTTTAGGGTCCCATGACTGGTTTCAATTAGGGAACAACTGTCTTAGGGTTTCTATTGCTGTGATAAAACATCAAAGCAGCTTAGGTAGAAAGGGATTGTTTCGGTTTGTAACTCTTAGGTGACATCGCTGAGGGAAGCTGGGGCAGGAACTCATGCAGGGCAGGAACCTTGAGGCAGGAGCTGAAGCAGGGGGCATGGAGGAGTGTTGCATATTGGCTTACTCCCATGGCTTGCTCAGCCTACTTTCTTTTAGTGACCAGGACCACAGCCAAGGGGTGACACCTCCCATATAAATCATCAATCCAGAAAATACACCACAGGCCAATATGGAGGGGCCTTTTCTCAACTGAGGTTCCCTCTTCCCAACCAAATGACTCTAGCTTGTGGCATGTTGATACAAAACTCACCAGCACACAGCTAAACATTCAACAGAAGCAGCAGCCAAATCGGCTGTGATGAGGGGAAATCCAAGTTGCTGAGCAAATATATAGACTGTGTTCATGAGTCACTGGGCAATATTGGAATGTCTGTAGATGAAAGTGACTGAGATATAGAAGATAAATAAACTCTTAAAATTATATTATATATTTAATTACTGTATATGCAATATATAATACATAATATATATAATACATATATGTGTGAGTATAGGTGTCTTAAAAGGCCAGGAGAGGGATCCCTTGGAGCTGGACCTATAGGTGGTTGTGAGCTATACAAGTGGGTGCTGGATACTGAATACAGGTCCTCTCCAAGAGCAGTACATGCTCCTTTCTGAGCTGTTGGACTAGCTTTTCACTGGTTATTGAATACTTCTTGTAGATTGGAGCTTTTTGATGGTGTCACGAAGAATGAAAGAGTCTCCCACCCTCTAGATCAATTCTAAAAGAGTCCCTATGTGCTTGTCCCCTTTCTCTCAAACATCCCTGTCACTAGCCTTGCCTTGTTGGTTCTTCCAAGTCTCTAGCTACTGAATTAAACCACCAGTGATTCCTGCACCACAGACCATTGCTCATTTCAGCTCGAGTGGCCAACAGGATCTGCTGTGCTTGTTTTCTGTTGCCATCACTGAAGAGCACAGCTGGGGAAATTTTTAGAAATAGAAGTTTATTCAGCTCGTGAGTGAATTAAACACATTGCCTATTCCTCACACAAAGCACCCACATTTGGTCAGTTTGAATGCATTAATAATA